TTATTTGCATTACATGATTCTGCTCTATATACCTTCTATTCGAATATCCATGATCAGTGTTGGAAAAAACATTTCCCAAAAAAACTCTTTCGCTGTTCTTCAGAGAATCATTTCGCTGAAGAACTAGCTATGCAAAAATCGCGAACAAAATACGAATAAAAGTTCCCGAACGAGCTGTTCGAAACGGTGCAGCAAACGATTCCGAAAGGGAATTCTATTTTCACTCTCTCAACCTAATTCACACAAAATCGCGAAACGAGCTATATAGTAATTAATCATTTTGTCAAGCTTCTGCATTCATGTTCCATCAGATGTCACTGCTGTTGTTCGCGGTGACATCTGTCGGAAACTACACACAATCTGTTTTCCTATAATTGTTCACAGAGGACACTGAAGTGCTATTCTTCAATCATCATCATTGGTTTACACATACATTCACATAATATTAATACAAAAATTTAACACTTGTATTTCATGATTTTAGAACGAAAACTTCTTGGGTAAAACATATTCACTGTATTTACTTACTTGTGTTCTTCGAAGCATAGCACAATAACACACCATTGAATACACAAAACCTAAAACAACTGCTTCTCAAAACTCTTGGTGAACAAAATTGAGCACCAAGAAAACCACTTCAACTTTACTGCTTTGCCAGCAATCGTAAAACTATCATTGAAAAAGCGTTGCCAGATGACTCATTGATATATATGAGTGGATGTATTTAATGGTGAATAAATATCAGAAACTGAGTAAATAAAACAAAAACGACCATTATAGGCATTTTACCGGTCCAATTTAAAAAGCCACAGAAGATTGAATTCAACACTAACAGGGTTGATGGCAGCAGTGCACGTAGCCTCCCGAGCAAAGTCTGAGATCAAATTGAAATCTAAATTTGATGTTGTGATGTCGCTGAAAATTATTACTCAGGCTGCTGTCGTTTTGTTCGTTTTAACGGTTAAAATATCAAAATTAAGAGCAAAAAAATCATCCTGTGACATCAAATTGAAATCCGATTCTGCTATCAGTGAGAGCAAACTGAAAACTCAATTTGATATACATTTGTTCCTGTTGATAACACAACGAGTATTCAATTTGATGTTCTTCCAAGGCAATAAAAATAAAACTGCAACAACATATTGAGTTGTTGATTTGCTGTAAAAAGACACTACTGAAAACAACAAAATCAACAGCATATTCAGATGTAGATTTGCTTTAAAAATGTTCTACTGAAAACAAAATTTTAATAGCAAAATCAGTTATCGTTTTGCTTTTAAAATGTACTAGTGATAACAGAATATAATTTGATTTATTTGGTTTTATTTCTTTTGAGCTTGAGCTTGAGCTTGAGCTTGATTGACCGCCCACGGTTGCTACTCTGTTATTGCCAGATCAGCTGTAATTACACATAGAACCAATAGATAATGCTTGGGACTAGCAATCATCCTCAACGTGTAAAAACTGGTGATCTTAAATTAGGCAATACCAGCGCCGGCCGCGCCCGAACACAGGTCAAGAAAGGAATGAGAAGGATTGTGTTGACATGACACTCGTTTTGATGGAAGCCGAGAACACCTCTGCACTTCCACGAGGAATCACTGGGATGTTGGATAAGAGGGTTGGGTTTGCAGCAGGGTTCGTTTTGGTAAACGATAAGCTGAATTGATGTCCTAACGATCATATAACGCGAACGAGCTTGGGATCAAACCCACGGTCTTTTGCTCAGTAAGCAAAAACGTTTGCCACTAGGCAGACGAGCACCTTTTTAATCACCGAGTTGCTGTTATTACCATGTAGTCATATTAACAAATAAAACGATTGACGAATCTTGAATGCGGATGGGCCTGAGATTAGACTCATGATGTTCTGCTCAGTAAGTAAAAACGGTTGCTCTAAGGCCACCGAGCCCCTCATATCACATAATACCGTTGCTCAAATTTGTGTATCCATTCAAACCCGGAACCAACGACAACAACGAGTTTCGCAAAATACACGATACACAAGCGATTTTACCATAAATCTCTGGACCTGGGACCGCGTTTTTCTGCTCAGTAAGCTGGCCACTGTAACCGACGATCTTTCAAATCCGAAAACTAAAAACTACGAAAAAGTACTTAGGCCTTCATTAACTTCCACTTTCACGCGACGTTCAATGTTTCAATTTGCTCTTTACGTATTGTTCAGGCTATAAATAGGCTCTTTTAAAAAGTTACGCGAGAAATACGCACAATCGTTGCCTACCTCGCAAAACTGGTTCCAAACGACAACAAAGGCATAAGCAACGATGGATTATTGAACTTTGCTGGCTGGTGTAGTGCACAGCAAAAAAAAATGTAACATCGATCAACGCAATTCAAGCTGATGTATGAAATAATGATGTAATTGTAATTTTGTAATTTATCAGCACACACCCTGGTCGACCACTGTAAACCAATCTGCCGTTAAGCGAGTGCGAGTACGAGTTAAGCGAGTTATAACGACCTTCTTCCACTAGCAGGTCTGTTTCTGTTTGCACAGACAGTCCCACTAGTTTCCGATACATTTATAGGGGATAGTAGGAGATTAAAAGAATAGAGAAGAGTTATAGAGGTTTTTTTGTAGTTGTTTTGCTGAAAAGAGAGAAACAGAACTAAACGAAATTACACCTGCTGAAAAAAGATAAGTCTATTATTTTGGTTAGTGATCGTTTGGATTTGGGTCACCCCACGTTGTGTTTAGGTTAGTATAAATAAATAATACTATATAGTCATATAAATCACCACAGCTCATTATCTTCAGCGTTATCGGCGTTTCTGGATCTTTAGTTGCCTCTGTGATATACTTACTTGCGGCATACTATTTTGGGAGTGTATATGAGCGTGTACCATGTACGGTAGCTCATCTCTCATCGTGATGGTGGGACATAGTAGACAAATTAGAGAGAAAACAAGGAGGTATTAGTATTAGTTATATGTAAACAAACAAAACAAAAGAAGAGAAGAGGAAAGAAGAGCAGAAAAATAAAAAGGGGATAAAGTAGATAACAAAGAAAAGAAACGTAGGCAGATTATTAGAAAAGGCATTATCCGAGACTCAGCAATCAAATGTCACTCCCGCCGAGATCTCAGCGAAACCCCCTTCCCGCCGAGACCCGCACAGCCGAGCTCGGTAGAAAAAACGGTGTGTAGATAGATTAGTAGGAAAATAAATAAAACTACTTTATGACTCAAAGTGCAATGAATGAGCGTTAGTTTCGGGATCATTTCAGTGTTAGAGTTATGTTAGTTTTGATCCGTAATCAGCCCTGCCGACCCCTCAACATTAGTTGCAGGCAGTGGTTGTTAGATAATGCGGCACTGTAACTACTACTATTTTAGAGGTATGATTCGTCAAGTTTATACAACTCAATGTTTCAATTGAGGCAAACTATCTATCTTACAATTACAAAAGCAAACCTAAACTTACAATTATATGCAGGGCAGGGCCTGACGATTTGAATCTAATTTTGATCAGTGAACGGGCACCATATGGTACATTTTCTCACCATGAACCTATCATTTCCAGCCTATCTGAACTATTTAATAAATGGAAGCCATAACATGGGTTACGCTCCCCCTAAGCAGGCCCTCCGCATCCTGTCTCTGTCTTATCTCAAATACAAAATGCCAATGGTATGAATGTATCTATAACTTGGAAATGACGTACAATCAAATAAACCCGTAACCCACTCACTTGGTCAGGCTTCAGAATCGTCCAGTGGGCAGTGCGCTCTACACGCCAAGTTACCTTTTTTTCAAATTGACCGCAAATTTGATATTTTACCCATTGAGTGTTGATTAGTCACAATGAAACATTGTGAGAGAAGTTGAGGTTACTAGTGTATTAAATAATCTAGGTCCTATTTAAAATTATATCTGAAAAATCCAAATCTGGCCAACGCCCACCCTAATCCTAAACCTGTTCTAATCCACCTGAAATGACTAACGCATGGAAGACTTTCACTACCCAGCCATGCAATAGTCTCATTCCGTGCCTTATGGCAACTTGATAATTCTATTGCGCTCATCTTCTGGCACCACCCAGGGGAGACTTGGTCCTGTACTCAATGCTTAACTTATCTCCATTCCACTCAGCTACTCGCAATTTCTTGTGATATAGTGGGCGGAATATTATTATATGAGACAATTCAATGCAGACGTCTTTCCAAATTTGGCAGATCGACAGGTAATCGGTGAGTTACCACGATAGTTGCTATTCAACAACTCGACAACGTTCCATCGTCAACGCATGCTATGAGAATTTCCCATTGCAGACGCCAACGAAATGACGTCATCGAGCTATCGATCAACTACCCTGGTTATCGCCTGGTACCTTATAGCACGATGCTAGGAGGCGAACCGGAAGAATCGATGAGCTAGCTCCCCCATAATTTGATTTATTTGGTTTTATTTCTTTGGATTAAATAACTAAAACCATGGTTAATTTATCATTTTGAATTCGATTTTTATTTTAGTCGAATTAACAAATCATAACAGTTGATTTAATGCTGAGTAGTTCGTTTATATGTCTATAATAGTCGCTACACTACTAATCTACTGAATAAGTTGATTCTGTAATTCTCATCCAGAGCAAGTATGCTTACAAAAAGTTGATTTGCCATTAAAATATAAAATAAATCGTTTCAATTCATAAAAGCAAGTCACAAATTAAAAATGACAATGCTAATATAAATATATCAGTGTGCCTGAGGGCATTTCTAGCGACATTTTTAGAGTAAAAGCAAGTTAAGATAAAATTCAGCAATACTATCGCATAAAATTAATCTTAATAATAAAGTTATAACAAATTAAATTCAACGAACGATTTGACAGTCACAACTCAATAATCCAGATCTAACTACGGCGAATGGTAACGGTTTCCGGGCCACCAAATCATCGTCGTGCAGCAGAAGACGTCTCTCAATGAGGCAATCTAATAAAACAATTAAAATTAAGAAAAATAAAATCAAATATGTTTTTTCATACATTACCATTGACAAACTTCACTTTGTTTACTTCCAGCACAGTACGACCAGGGATTGTGTTGTTATTAGCATCTGTTGGATCATCATCGATTGGTTGCTGGTTTTTTTTTCCACGGCCTTTTGGATTATTCGATGTACGTCCTGTAACTGACCTTCCTGCGAATCCTTCAGGCCATATGGCATACATGAGCAGCTTGACAAAGATATAGTCACTGTCCTTTGCTACCATGGACATCTTTAATATCATGTCAGCGGTCGGACATTCAGAAAATCCATTGATTTTCTTAAAAGGCTTATGAGTCGAAGGCAGCAACTTTGACACCAAAGCCTGTTGCAGCTTGGAATGCGACCTCTCAAGATTGATTTTCCGTTTTTTCAGGAAATTGTTCTGCTTCCGAAATTTATGATTTTCAGCTTTCAGTTTTGCCACTTCCTCTGTCAAATCACAGGAACATTCTAAATAAAAGCATGAAAGAGATTACAAGTATAACCTTTTTCGAAAGTAGCATTCCAAAAACAACACGTATTTCCAAATATATTTTGCATTACTTGCAACCATGTCGTTAGAACAGATCTCAATCACGTGACACTTACGAAAATGGAAATACGCACTATTAATGTGTCTATCTGAACTTCGATAAATTACTTACCTGAATTAATTTTCATTTGCTGGTCAGAGGTCAATCCGTTCATGGTTTCCTCCAATTCATCGTCGTCGTCATCATTACAACCATACAGATCGTTTTCGATATCAGATTCACCCGAAGTCTCTTCAAAATCGGTAGCAGTTTGCTCAACTCTAGATTCTCGAGGTTTGCTTGGACCAGGTTGTGGTTCATCCTCCTGTTCAATGGAATTATTTGTTGCTTCTGGCCTTGCGCCAGTTTTACCTGATATTGATCGTTTTGGAGCCTCAGAAGCCGGTGCCAATTTTGAGGAGGATTTTGGTCCTGCAAAGCGAGGATTCTGAGAATTATTGGAGCACGGTACAGTAGTTTCTCGAGGTCTGATTGAATTAGCTTGTGGTTCATCATCCGGTTCAATGGAATTTTTATTTTCCTCTGGTCTTGGGAGAATTTTACCTGGTATTGGTCGTTTTGGAGCCTTAGCAGCCGGTGCTGATTTTGAGGAGAATTTTGGTCCTATAAAGCGAGGATTCTGAGTGGAACACGGTAGAGCAGTTTGCTCGACTCTAGATTCTCGAGGTCTGCTTGGACCAGCTTGTGGTTCGTCATCTAGTCCAACGAAATTATTTGTTTCCTCTGGTCTTGGGCGCGTTTTGCCTGTTGTTCGTTTAGGACCTTCAGTAGTCAGTGCCAAGTAAGAGGATGATCTTGGCTCTACAAAGCGAGGAATTTGGGAATTAATGACCCCAGACTTAACGTCGTTTTGCATTCCTTTGCTAAGTGAAGGTTTTTTGCTGTCAGGCTCGCCACTCAACATGCAGGATCTTGATGATTTCTGAAAACCAAAAATACGAAGTGAGTTTATGGATATGAGAATTCAGATTAATTCGCAGATTGACTTACCCTTGATTCTGGAATCTCGTTTAAAAGAAACTCAGAGTTTCTTTCGTTGGACAGCTGAAGCACACGTTTTTTTGATGCAGTAGTGCGTTTCCGAGCCATTTTAAGAAACTTTAAAACTTGAAGAAACGTTTGGCGTCCTCAATAACTACGCACACACGAGACAACGGATTATGCGGAATAAAAATAATTCATAGTTGATCGAATCGATACAGGTTGTCTAGAATTAACATCATAGTAGAACCTCACTATCATGAATAAAAAAATGTGTATACCGTTATACAGCATGCGAAATGCTTTAAAAGTAAAATGGAATACCAAAACCCAAATCTCATGCCTAAGTTTATTCACCTGTGAGTTTAACCTTGCAAAATTCAGCTGAGAAAAAGTCACCGATGAGTTTTTAGACTAAACAATTAATTGCTTTATATTTTGGCATTATTCATTGTTATTACTGTTGTTTTGACATCATTAGATGGGAAACTAACACGACATGCATAAGCTATCGATTAACGCGAGGGGGGCGACACGTTGTACGATGTACATCGATTTTGCGCAAAATTACATCTATTGATGTAATATTTTATCTGCTTTTTGCTATTACATCATTATTTCGTACATCAGCTTGAATTACATTGATCGATATTACATTTTTTTTTTTTTTTGATTATTTTTAAGAAAAAGAGCATTAATTTTTAATCATTCGATATGATTAAACTGAGTTTAATGTCAAATTGATTAAATTTCAAGCTAAATGGGAATAGTTTAATTTATCAGTGTAGCAAACTATCGATGACAAGTTTTACCCGTTCCGTAGTTTGAGAATTTACCCAACTCTGGTATGATCACACCAGCTATGATATCGTTTGTGTATGATTCCCATATGTAAGGGTGCAGCTTCCATTCGGAAAAGTGATTTCGATGTTTCGATATGAATGGTAGGAGGATTCATACGAACCGAGGTATTCTGGTGCAGTGTAAGAGCCATCCCTTCCCCATTTGAAAGATTCCCTTTTATTATCGAAATCTCACTCAGTTAGCAGCACCATAGGTACGGTTGGATGGCCTAAATCGCACCCCTGGAGTAAAATGGCCACGCGCTGTTTTTCATAGCTTTCCGATTGTCAATTCGTGAGCTTAACGAGCATCATTGCTAATTCAGTACTTAACACATAAAATCCCAGAATTACTATAGGGAAGACAATGAAAAACCACGTGGAACCATTTTACCGCAGGGTTGCATTGTGGACTTTCTCCCCTATACCTGAAAATAGGATTGCCACTCATCGAAGTTGAGGATAAAAATAAATTTCAATTTTCGTTTTGACGGTTCGTCTCGATTGGAATTGCGCGACGACAACGACGACGACATAATCTACATGAAGGAGGACGTGAGTGGAATCAAACCCCCAATGGGAACCATGGGCTTTTTACGATACAGCATGATTACCAGAGGGATCCGATTGCTCTCATGCTTCGTTCGCTTCGGTCGAACGGTTGATTTATTATTTTGAATTCAGTTGCTTTGCTGGTTCGTTTGCTGGAAATTGATATGAGAAGCTTGCAGCCACTTGTTGTTTCCACTGATTCGTGGAATAGAAGCACTACATAGAAGTGGATGGAAATCGGTTGTCGATGGGGAACGTCGCGGTCGTCGTTGATCTGAAGGGGTTGTTTGGTGAATCGAATTATCTAACGAGCACATGATGGGTTTATGGAAGTCCGTTTAATCCATTCTCCTGATGGAATTTGGGTGAAAATTATTTTCAAACGGCCATGGAATAGACGATGGAAAGCCATTGATTACATCACCAAAAGTGGCAAATCCATTTGAGAAATTGCAGTTACTCGTAATGATAAAAATAACGACCGTATGTAGACGGAGCATAGTCGTTTAGTATTCAAAATGAACCGAATTATTGCGTGAAATGTCGAAAATAGCCGAGAAATATGGTTGCAATAAAGAGTATTTTTATTTTGGTATCACATTGAAGAGAGAAAAAACAAGAGTGTCATATTATTGATTTTGATTTAAAAGCAGCTTTAAAGAATTTATTCTCCAGTTCAGCAAATTCAGCATGCCAATAAATGCTAAAGTCCTACTCAAGCACAAGTCTTGCTCGTAGATCTCGTCAGCTAATCCAAGAATAAAATCATCCTCAAGAGCCTGTAAGCAAAGAAAGGAACAGTAACTTCACAGACAAACAGACATAACACTTCATTGTGTATCTTCGTTCACGCATTCAACGGTTGTTTTGAATATTATCAGTTCCGCGAACTACTCGCTGCAGCACTGGTTTCGATCACTTTGACGTTTCTATACATTCTATAGAACTTTTATGCAATATTGTTTGCGAGTTAGCGAGCAATCTTGTTTTCCGCGAGAAGCCAGAGAGATGTCGTTACTGAGGTCTTATGTTTTGAGATACTATGTTTTCAAGAAAAACTTGTTCAAAGTGTTACGTCTGTTTGTCTGTGGTAACTTCATGCAAACGCTGATCCAGAAAGTGTTTACTCTGATGATTGAGAAATCAACAACGATTTTTTCTTCCTCAAATCATTTTATATATAACGTGTTCGTTTATGCCAGTTGAATCTGGAATAAAATGGTATAATTTCTGACTACGTTTTGAAAAGACCGTTAGCTTTACGGTTCATCCTGCTAAATATTTTTTTACAAAAAAAGTTTTTTTTTTGTATTTATGTATATATCTAGATTAACATTTCAATGGACATATCTAGATTAACATTTCAAGAGGTCCTGATTGCATTTATCTATTAATTTCATGATTAATTCGATATTCTAATTGAGTAACCACAGTTTTGCAAACATGCTTCATGCTATTTGTGACAATTGGTTTAAAGAAAAAAAAATGTAATCTTCTTTGGCTATAATGCCCCCACTAGAACTTTACGCTTGCTCTCAACTGAGGGGATTAGAGGCAAAGGGGTGCAATCGATTTGGATTGATTCTCTTCATCGACTTTGTCTTTCGTTAATAACTCACCGGCAAACATACTCCTTGATGCGGTAGCTATCCTGCATGACAGACAATAACCTCATTTATCAAACTATGTAGCGAAAATAGTGAGAAATTGGTTGGTAAAGCCGTAATTATCAAAAGAGAAAGTCGAAGAGAATCAATCAAAATCACTTGTACCCCTTTCCTCTAGCCCCTCAACTTAGTGTCCTATGAGCAATTTCACTGTTGATAATGGAGATTTCTTAGCCTGCACCATTTTTGCCCACATCTCAAATTAGTGTCTTCAATAAAGTTGTTCTCTTGACTATGGCCTTGCAGGTGGTAGACATATAAGTTCAAAATTTTCTCACTATGTGGCACAAGTAATAATGTCTTCCGTTAGCTCTATTTTGGAGAATAATATAGAAAGATTATGATTTCAGTTTGAATATTTCCGGAACAGGAGCAACATGAAGTGATCTGATATCGATATTCGACACCGTTTTTGAGTAAGGTAACAGTTGTTGAGAAATTTGAGACCCCCATAAATAGAAGACACATGGTTCCTGAGAGTTTCCGGATTCCTTGGGTCATTAACATGAAACTTCAGTATCCCTAGAAATTCCGATATATCATGTTTCACTATGTGGCTTCCGCGAAGTTCCATGCTTGAATCTAAACGCGGAGTCCTTTTTGATATTCTTATGCCCCATTTAGTTGGAAAAGCAAATGTTTTACCCTTCTTACAAAGAAGGGTATAGATATCACTTGAAAAACCGACTATCGATCCGAGGCCCGGAGGGCCGAGTGTCATATACCATTCGACTCAGCTCGACGAGATCGGAACATGTCTGTGTGTGTGTGTACGTGTGTATGTGTGTATGTGTGTGTGTGTATGTAACGAAATGAATGCGCTCACGTTTCTCAGCAACCGCTCAACCGATTTGGACAAACTCGGCGCCAAATGATAGGTCCCATTGAACGCTATTGAACGGTTTTGGAATCGGTGAACCGGTTCCGGAGATATGGCCGGAATAATATCCGGTGAATATGGGCCTTCACGCTGGATTTAACGGAAAACGTATCAAAACCATCATGCGACACATCAAATTACTACAGAATTCAAAAATAAGATCAATGCAAGTCGTGTTAAGTGTTCCAGACCACATTGGACACACTTGGACATGTTCCGGGTACCCCGGGGAAGTTGCACTTAAATATGAATTGAATTAAAACCCATTAAATCACATTAAAATACGATGATAAGGTGATTGGTAGCCTCACCAAATAGACTACACCCGGATATATTCCGGGTACCCCCAGGCAGTGGCGTAGCGTCACTGGATGACACGGGGGGGGGGGGGCTTGGTCACTGATAATGACAATAAAATAAATAAACTTGAATAAGTAAGAAGGGTCTGATCACACCATAGGTGGATAAATTCGGGTTTTTTTTTATGATGTTGAAACGACGAAAGCGCTTTTTTAAACTAAAACAAAAACATAAATTCGACGAAACTTTCACCACTTCCACGCAAACCACCACCACCATCAGAGAGGTGCCCAAGTAACAATCTAAATGCTTGGAAGATTTATTCTTATTTTATCATTGTTTTATCATAGCATCCCTTCCAGTCTGTGGTTGTATTACGGTTTTGTGTGCTAGTCATAAAATCAGGCCATCAAGTCGTCTATAAAACTGTTTTATGACTACTAAATTAAAACTCAGACTTCATAGTTTTAACGGTAGCTGTAAGGTGGTTCTGCATCACTACTTATAACTGAAGAATAAAACCAAAACAAAACATACAATTATGTTTTATGGTACCCTTTTTATGACCGATATAAAATTTGAAGCAGTCTTAGACCTTAATTAAAGCTTCATTACAACTATCATCTTTATCAGAGGCCTAAGATTCACAGATAAGAAATATACTGCTACAACAAAAAATACTCTGAAATTTTTTGTCATTATAAAAAACAAATCTATTCAGATATATGAAATGAAAACCCCTTCAGTGCTTCTGAACACGATGAAGATGAGACGATCGACAATATGAAACTCCTGGAGGAACTACAGTTATACGATCCCTACATAAGGCACAGTGCGGTGAAGGAGCTCTTAAAAATATTGAACAAGCGGCTTTCCGATACACTTCCGAAAGATCCACGAATCCTTTTTGAAGCAACGCCGACAGTTTCACTAAATCCGTTTGGAGATGGCCAGTATTGACATCACGGCTTTAAACCTTGTATTGAAAAAGCTTTTAGTGGATCCAATAAGCATTTCTTACATCTTGATTACAAGCGAAAATAGGAGGATCGCTTTGAATGTTGACTTTTTGACAGGTGGTCATGGTTTTTGTTTTGTTTTGATTCGCTGTACCGAATAAAACCAGCAAGCTAGTTATATAGCTTAAATATAACTTAACGCTCTCAATTTGGACTACGAAATGCTAAGATACAACCATTAG